CCCCAAAACCCCAAAACCCCAAAACCCCAAAACCCCATAATAAATCTAATAATTGAAACTCATAATATAAAATAATGGATCGCAAAGCAAACCGTAATAGAAAAATAAAAGCCAAGACAAAGTCACCTGAATTTAGGATAGTCTTAAAGAAAGCTCAAAGGAAATAGATCACTTATAAATACCACAAGAAGCACGACTTTATGGAAGAGGAAAAAGAAAGGTAATAATTCTATTTCTTCTCGTCCTTTTTCCCGACCTTATATTCAAACTGAATAGGTCAAGACCTTATTTAAAGAGGCTAAGCTAAGACAGAAGAAGAATACTCATAGACTGCCTGTAAAGATAATTAAACCAGCATTAATTAAGAAAAAGAAGAAATGCAAGAAAAAGAATTTTGACACTAGGTCCAGGTAGGGCATTATTATCAACCTGTCTCCTTGTTCAACTTCCGTTGTTGACAAGATGCACTATTCATCTCTAAACCAAAGGTAGATTTCTAGCTCTAGTAACAATTTTCATCGTTAATTTCTTTACTTAAATTGTTTAGGAAAAACTCCTTCCTCAGCAGAATGGAGTACTCTAGTACAAAGAGCAATCGGAGCCAAAGGTCTATAAAACTAGAAGAAATTGATGACGAGAGCCCCAAGAAACATAGTATAATTATTGAAGAAGAGAAGGAGATAGATGATAGTACCAAGTATTCAACCGCTAAGAAGAACAACTTTGTGTTACCGTCTATTCTTACTAAATAACCCTAAGACTAAAAATGGGACAAAAAGGATCACTTTTCATGACCAAAGCCAACCTACGTACACTTATAGCCTCAAATTTGAAAGAAGCAAACTTGGAATCATGAGTACCAGGGTGATTAAGGAGAAGGTCAACTTGATACGACAGAAGTGAGAGTCTATAGCAGGTGACTTGAGTGAAAAGGGAGACCTGGAAATTACCAGCACGACAGATACTCCTCATAAGCAGACTCAGTTTATCCAAAAGATGGCTAAAAGTCCTCAGGTTAACCGAAATCATCAGCTATCGACTGCTCAAAAACTCTTGCAGACTTTGAAAAATTCACCTAGCAAGACTCTTAAGAGGAAGAAATGCAGGCGTTCATTGAATATTAGGCCTCTTAAGAAATAACTTAATTTTCAATTGATCTGTACTATTTGGGGTTTTGGGGTTTTGGGGTTTTGGGGTTTTGGGGTTTTGGGG